AAATATAGTGGCGGTTCTGCCTTCCATCACCCCGGTCCTATGTGCCATTCACAGATGTTAATTTAACAGTCTAGTGCTTCCATCTTCCAGGAGAAATATGCATGTCACACGCCAATACACATGCCAGTAGGGGGCTCCAAAGTGGTGTCGGCAGCAGTAGCAACAACAGGAATGCAGAGAGAGCGCCCAAATGTCAATGAACTGTCTAGCTAGCAGCCATAAGTAGGGTGACCAGATGTCCCATTTTTAAAGGGACAGCTCTATTTTTTGGGCCTTCTTCTTATAGAGGTGCCTATTACCCCCCACCTCTGTCCTGTTTTTTCACAGTTGCTATCTGGTAACCCTAGTCATAAGAGGCCCTTTAAAGAGTTCCCCCAATGAACGAGAGCATGTGCCTCTGGAGAGGGTTATAAAGCCTAAGATATAGAACCGTTCATTCAAGAGAGTCAAAAGGACACATTCAACTAGCTTGGGGTTTGATTTATCCAGAGCCTAACTCCCATTACATACATGCTGCGGGCGCTGTTGTGGGGGTATGCTGCCCTTTGGGGAGCATTCATAAGAAGAGCTGAGTAGCAGATTTCCCCACAGTGGTTCCTGGACCCTTTCCTTGGCTTCTGCCTCTGTGTCTCCACCCCATCTGAAGAGTTGGAGCAGGGTTTGACTTACAATATCCCATGAAGAGTTAGATTGGGTGGTAAGAATTCTACAGGACCTGTGATATAACAAAGTAAGTCACTGCCTGAATATACTTGGGCTGTTACAAGACGTGACACAATATGAGCCCAATCCTGTGAGATATTGTGCATTCCCTACTCTCTTTCGTTCTTGGGTTCTCAACACCTTGCAGGCTTGGACCCCTACATTCTATTACTTTTTGCAAACTTTAAAAAATCATCTCCCTAAAAATGGCATAAAATATTACAGTTTACAGTCATGTACCTGCATGGAAGTTATGTATAATACATGCATATGATTACATACAAGAATTTACCACACCTGCCAATTAGTTATCTGAATTGAACACAGTTTATACCAGATCAGCATTTGGCCTTAAGTGATTGCAGCGTTATGGTGCCATTTAAGCAAAGTGTTAGCAAATTAGCCTAAGATGGGAAAGGAATATTTTTCTCTTCATTATATGGTTCTGTTTTCTATGAAAATGACTGAAAATAATTAGTAGCATGCTATGTGAAAACAATGCAAATGAGTTCATGTTGCTCCTGAAAATAGCATAGTTCTGGTTTCAGTACTTTTACTTTGAGAGAAGAAAAATAAATTAATGAGAAAGTCGGGTCTTTTGAGGTTATGACACCTACAGCGAGCTGTGGTTGATCTAAAAAAATGGTTCATGCTTCATCCTTTTCCGCTGCTTATTTGTGTACAGTCATACCAGCCGACACCGGCAGAGAGAAAATTTCAGCACGTGTCATTTCCATTAAGGCCTTTCTAAGTTTAAAAGATCAAAACAAACGAAAAAACTAATTGTGCTATGTTCCACAGAGCTACACTGTTGTCCCATCACTGCGTCTATTTCAGAATAGCCACTTTGTACTAGCTTTCCTGTGTGTGTATTTGGAGGCGGGGAGGTAGAATCACTTATTACTTTTCTGTATTTAGGCCAAAGGCAATTCTGATCTTCTTTCATCATGCATGCATCCTGGCCTTCACATGTTTTCACATACTCTGCTATGTGCCTAGCTGTTTAGAATTCTCCCACACCTCTCTTCTATGTTGCAAGGTGGTGGCATACCACCTGGTAGGAGGGGTTTTACCTCTGGTCACCTTTTGAATTATCACAAATTTGGACAGAGAAAAACATCTGCTTTTCAATTTAATTGGTCGAGCATCAATCCTCAGAGTGTAGCTAGCATGCCTACATCCTCTAAGGGTTACAGTATTTTATTGTTTTATGGCTATAGATCATGTGCAGTCATGTGAGAGTTGCTGGTAATATACAAACATATAATTTAAACTACATATAGGGCTTGGAAAGTGGGTAGAAAATTCTACCAAAATCATACAATCATAGAAGATTAGGGTTGGAAGAAACCTCAGGAGATCATCTAGTCCAATCCCCTGCTCAAAGCAGGACCAACACTCACTAAATCATCCCAGCCAGGGCTTTGTCAAGCTGGGCCTTAAAAACCGATAAGGAAGGAGATTCCGCCACCTCCCTAGGTAACCCATTCCAGTGCTTCACCACCCTCCTAGGGAAATAGTGTTTCCTGATATCCAACCTAGACCTTCCCCACTGCAACTTGAGACCATTGCTTCTTGTTCTGTCATCTTCCACCACTGAGAACAGCCTAGCTCCATCCTCTTTGGAACCCCCTTCAGGTAGTTGAAGGCTGCTATCAAATCTCCCCTCACTCTTCTCTTCTGTAGACTAAATAACCCCAGTTCCCTCAGCCTCTCCTCGTAAGTCATGTGCCCCAGCCCCCTAATAATTTTCGTTGCCCTCTGCTGGACTCTCTCCAATTTGTCCACATCCCTTCTGTAGCGAGGGGACCAAAACTGGACACAATACTCCAGATGTGGCCTCACCAGTGCCGAATAGAGGGGAATAATCACTTCCCCCGATCTGCTGGCAATGCTCCTACTAATACAGCCCAATATGCCATTGGCCTTCTTGGCAAAAGGGCACACTGCTGACTCATATCCTGCTTCTCGTCCACTGTAATCCCCAGGTCCTTTTCTGCAGAACTGCTGCTTAGAATGGTAGCATCTGATGCTCACTTTGCACAAGTGCTTCCCCAAGGGGAATGAAGATGAGGATGAGTTCAATGGAAAGGAAGAGCACACTGAAATATTTTCCTCAATATATTAGATATACTAGCTCATTAAACAAAGTATTTAAACACATACCTAATATAAACCACAGAAACAGTGTCGCTGACTTTAGTGGGACTGTTCATAACTTAAACACAGGAATGTGCTTAGATACCCATTCCCTTAACACACCTAAGTATATGCATAGTATTAAACACATGAATAATCCCATTGATTCTAATGGGATTATGTGCCTGCAAAGAGTTTGGCTGGGTTAGGTTCTCATTCATTCCTCATTACAATCTAGAAAGTCTAACTATATATTTCTGGACCCTAGGTTTATGCGTCAGCTGTTAATGACAGAGGAGGAGATTGGTTTCTAGATTCTTATCCTTATAAAAACGATCATGAAAGAACCAGTGTTTATCAGATTGAAATCTGTGTTAAACAATAATCTGAATTCACCAAGAAGAGAGTCTCACTATTTTATAGTAGTAAAGACTTGCCAGTGCCCAGCACATCTCAGGATCAAGTCCAAAATGCACAATATTAATTATATTGTTAGGTACTGAATGTGGTTTGCACGATATATTAATCCGGTAACTAAAACATTAATTATCTTTGACCCTATTGCACACTAATTAGGACTGGATCTCGGATCCATTAAAGGATTTAGGCACTGCAGCACTCAGCATTAAAATGCCTGCCTTTTAGGTGCCTAAAAAAATCCCTGGAACAACTCTGAGGTCCACAAAGCTTGAGTTAGGTGCCTAGGTACGAGGAGAGACAGATGCCTTAGAATGGGATCCACAAAAGCCAGTTTGCTAGTATGAAAGCCACCTAAACTATCCAATGAGAGATGCTGAGGTGAGGGATGGGTCTTAAGCCTTGCCCCTCTCTCAGAGATAGGAGCCTGAGTCTGGTCTGCAAGGAGATGCCTGTCTCTGCTTGCAATGTATTTGGAGCTAAGCAGCTTAGATGCCTAAGATGCTTCTTGTGAGAAGGGGATGGGCCCCTGCCTTACTCTGCACGAACTGGTTGGAGCAGGTGGTGCCCACTTTATAACTTTTAGCCCAGTGGTTAGAGCACTTACCTGAATTCAATTCCCCCCTCTCGCAGAGGGGAAGAAAGGGTCTGAACAGTGGTCTCCCCCACCTCTTAGGTGCATGCTCTATCCATTGAACTAGGGGATATTCTTATGTGGGGGCTCACTCAGTCTCTCCTGTTGAAGCTGTTCCAGTGTGTATTAAATAATTAAAAAGTAATTGGGCCAGAGAGTGAGAGAGAATGACTCTAGTCTGGTGACTAAGGCAGCCAGGGTCCAGTTGCCGTGCTCCAATCGCTCTTTAATTTTTTGTACACAATGGAACAACTTCAACTGGAGAGACTGAAGGAGTCCCACCTAAGATTATCCCATAGCCTAGGGGTTAGAGCACTTGACTGAGAGGTGGAAGACTCTTCCTGGGGCTGAGAAGGGACTTGAACCTGGGTCTCCAACATCTCAGATGAGTGCTCTAACCACTGGACTAAAAGATACGCAATAGGCAGCAGCTCCTCCTCCTTGAGCCAGCTTTCAAATGGGGCCTGATCTGATGGGTGGCCTCTGAGAATGACTATTGGATCAGGCCCTGCAAGTGAATTAGGTAAATGAATGCCTATTTTCAGCTGGTTTGTGACTCACTCTGGGGTTTAGCCAGGAGATAGGCATCCAGATGCCAGAGGGAGGCAGCAACATACATGCTAAGAAGCAGACACTTAGGTACCAAGGGAACGTTTATCCTGAAAACTTAGGCATCAAGTGAGTTTAGTTGCCTACGGAGTTTGGCGGGAGTTTTGTGGATCGCAGTGGAGCCTAAACCTGGGATGGACCTACGCACCTAAACCCTAGACTTAGGTGACTATGACTGGGACTAAGGCACCTCCATCACTTTGTGACTCTGGTCCCAGGCCCCTGCTGTGTTCTCACTGAATAGCAATGCCCCAAAACAGGCAAAAAATGGTTTATTGTTCCAACAGACATTTTGCGCCCAGGTACTCTCTCCAGTTGAAGTCAACAGGAAACTCACAGTACGTTTCGTGGAAGCAAGACTGCTGCAGGTGCTTTCCATGACTGATTAATTTAGAAGACAGATAATGAACTTCCAAAGTACAATCTAATTGAGGGAACATGTCTTGGATCATATAAATATGATCACCTCACCTCAGTCCCTGGAAAAATCATGGAGCAGGTCCTCAAAGAATCAATCCTGAAGCACTTGCATGAGAGGAAGGTGATCAGGAACAGCCAGCATGGATTCACCAAGGGAAGGTCATGCCTGACTAATCTAATCACCTTTTATGATGAGATTACTGGTTCTGTGGATGAAGGGAAAGCAGTGGATGTATTGTTTCTTGACTTTAGCAAAGCTTTTGACACGGTCTCCCACAGTATTCTTGTCAGCAAGTTAAGGAAGTATGGGCTGGATGAATGCACTATAAGGTGGGTAGAAAGCTGGCTGGATTGTCGGGCTCAACGGGTAGTGATCAATGGCTCCGTGTCTAGTTGGCAGCCGGTATCAAGTGGAGTGCCCCAAGGGTCGGTCCTGGGGCCGGTTTTGTTCAATATCTTCATAAATGATCTGGAGGATGGTGTGGATTGCACTCTCAGCAAATTTGCGGATGATACTAAACTGGGAGGAGTGGTAGATACGCTGGAGGGGAGGGATAGGATACAGAAGGACCTAGACAAATTGGAGGACTGGGCCAAAAGAAATCTGATGAGGTTCAATAAGGATAAGTGCAGGGTCCTGCACTTAGGATGGAAGAATCCAATGCACCGCAACAGACTAGGGACCGAATGGCTAGGCAGCAGTTTTGCGGAAAAGGACCTAGGGGTGACAGTGGACGAGAAGCTGGATATGAGTCAGCAGTGTGCCCTTGTTGCCAAGAAGGCCAATGGCATTTTGGGATGTATAAGTAGGGGCATAGCGAGCAGATCGAGGGACGTGATCGTTCCCCTCTATTCGACATTGGTGAGGCCTCATCTGGAGTACTGTGTCCAGTTTTGGGCCCCACACTTCAAGAAGGATGTGGATAAATTGGAGAGAGTCCAGCGAAGGGCAACAAAAATGATTAGGGATCTGGAACACATGAGTTATGAGGAGAGGCTGAGGGAGCTGGGATTGTTTAGCCTGCAGAAGAGAAGAATGAGGGGGGATTTGATAGCTGCTTTCAACTACCTGAAAGGGGGTTCCAAAGAGGATGGCTCTAGACTGTTCTCAATGGTAGCAGATGACAGAACGAGGAGTAATGGTCTCAAGTTGCAGTGGGGGAGGTTTAGATTGGATATTCGGAAAAAATTTTTCACTAAGAGGGTGGTGAAACACTGGAATGCGTTACCTAGGGAGGTGGTGGAATCTCCATCCTTAGAGGTTTTTAAGGTGAGGCTTGACAAAGCCCTGGCTGGGATGATTTAACTGGGAATTGGTCCTGCTTCGAGCAGGGGGTTGGACTAGATGACCTTCAGGGGTCCCTTCCAACCCTGATATTCTATGATTCTATGATTCTATGAAATAAACTCTCATCTAGCTGATACATGACAATTTTATCTCACCTGTTGGTATCTCAGATCTGAGGATAATCTAAAGCTTAATTATAAAGGAATACATTTTCAAAAGTGACTGGTGGTTTTTGGCTGCTCAACATAAAACAACTTAAAGGGACCTGGTTTTCAGAGAGTGCTGAGCACTTCCATAATGTCTGCAGTTGGGCATCCCAAAATGGAGGCACCTAACATCTATTTGTCAGGGTGAGCTGGCTTTTTAAGGGGGTTGGGATTCAGCTGCTCCTTTTGCCAGGCTAAGCCCAGCTTCCCAGGTGAAGGGAATAAGTCCTGGGGTCACATAGTAGAAACCGGTGACAAATAAAGGGCAGCCTGAGGTCAGGGAGCAGACTAGGGACAAGAAGGGAGCAGAGAGTTCCTTGGTTCAGCGGAAAGGATGAGGTTTAGACAAGGCACTTATACTGAGCTGTTTTGTTAAGGACAAATAAAACTTAGACCCTGAAGAAAAGGGACTGAACTCCTGTGGTTGCTGGGAGTTCTTAGATGCACAGCTGGTGAGTGGACGCCCTGGCTTACACACTTATATATGGACTTCTGACAGTGGGGGATCTGCTTTCACGTAGGCTCACCCTGCATATTATATTGACGGTTAAATAAAACAGTTAGCTGTATTACATAACCAGTTCTTTCAGCATCCACACTGTTGAGCACATACACAACTTCAAATGGCTCACACAGTGTCTTTGGTTCAATGGTGCAATGTACGTCATGAAGACGTTTGGGCTCCACTCTGCAATTCCTCCTTTACAGTATTTTCCCTGTCTCCATTTCACTGCCTTCTGTAGAACTACAGGCAGCTGCCTTGAGATCCAACCCACAGATTCAGTCTGGGTTATCTCGGGCCGCATTATAGTCTCCCTGCAAGACTAGGTTGGATCTGACTGGCACTCCAAGTGGCGGCCAGTTTTGTGCCCTTGACAGAACTCGCTACTGATTGGCCAGTTTCTCACTAAGGGGCAGAGTGTCTGTGTGTGAATTCGGGAATGTTGGCCCTTAATGAACTCTTCCACACCAGCTACTGAGCATGGTTAACAACTTCCTGCACTGTGCTGAAATAGCAATTACTAGTTTGCAGCCACTGACGCTGTCTGTACTGCCACCTGGTCTGGGAAAAGTAGAAACAGCAGCTGTACTTACAACGATAAGGATTTTGGCTGAGCCCCATGAAATAAGAAATAGAAAAGGGGGTTATATCTGTATGATGGTTATGCCAGGTATATAGTAAATACTTCTCAATGTGATTCCTTGCATATACTCTCATAAGTGCACTACTTGAGTTGAAGGAGTCAGGTTCACATGGGATACTTGCAGCACAGGTGCAACTACTGTAGAGGATGTGTGACGTCCTTGTCTTCTTTCAATGTCTTGTTGGTATTCCCCTCCCTCAGTGTGGCTACAGAATTCACGTGCTTTCATGCCTGCTCTCTCTCAGCTTTTTATACAATTACATCTCTGCCAAGGTTGGTCATATGTCATGGGATGAAACCTCCAGGAATAAGCTTTAATTCCTGGAGACTTCAGGACAGTCCTGGAGGGCTGGCAACCCTAATCTCTGCATGCTTATTATTTATTTGTTACAGTTACACTAAAAGGCCATCAGCTGCAATGGGGCCCCGGTTGTGCCAGTCACTGCACAAATAAATAATGAGACAGATCTTACCCCAAAGAGCTTACAACTGAAATAGACAAGGTAGCCAACAGATTTTACAAATTGGGGAAACTGAGTCATAGAGCAGCCAAATGACTTGGACAAGGACTCACAGGGAGGCTGTGTCAGAGTCTGGAGCTGAACCTGGTAGCAGCTGAGTCCAAATCAATCACAAGCCCATCCATCCTCTCATGAAGCTGCCAGGTTTAACAAGTGTGATCTCATGTTCATAACTGGAGTTTGTCTTTGGACAATGAAACCAGGAATGAAAGTGTGTTTTAATTGCAGAAGATGCTGTGATGGGTAGCAAGAGTGTATTAACGGCTAGAAAAAGCACCTTCAGTAAAGTCAATAGTTTGTGGCTGGACCAGACTTACTGTCTCTTTATATGCTTCTGATGATAGTGCAACTTTTTCAAAATAACAGTTGAGCTGGCTGGGGCCCACATTTTGAAATGTGCATTGCAAGTCAGGTATTTGACTATCCCTTGATGAATCTTTGTCTGGGCTATATCCTGCTATTGATCTATAGCCAAAACTCCTATTAATTTCCATGGGAGCTCAGTGCATCAGGTAGCAGAATGTCTTATCTCTCATTCTATTGACGTCTTCCTCCCCTCCCACAATCCCTTTCCCATTTAGCAATTTGCTAAGGGAAAGATGTAAGGACGATCCCTGACACCTGTTTGCTGTCCTTCATATAGGGAACGCCTCATTCTGTTCTGTGTTGCTGAGTAGAATCTGTGTTGTGAGCTCTGATTTTGTTCCTTTTTTTTTCCCCTTCATGTTTACTGCCTCTGTTCTGAGAAGTCTGTGGAAATTTGCTAAGTTTGCAGCAATGAACTAGAAGAGTTGCTAAACACTAAAAATAACTTGGGAGAGGACTGTCCAATAAGTTAGCTTTAAAATGACTCATGGCAAAGGCTGAAAGCAGGGTCTGTACAGCAGTAGAGATGTCTGCTTCACTTGGATAGATTGTGCTCCTAAGCTGGAGAAATGCTCTAACACAGATAATACTAAACATACAGCTAGGACTGTGCATCTTCCAAGCACTTGAGAAACATTAATGCCTCAGAGAAATATGATTAGCTTCATTTTCTAGGTGGAAGAATTAAGGCAGAGAGATTAGAATATGATATTGACTTCAGAGTGAATAGAATAAGCCACAAGTGACTTACCCATGATGTCAGGGGGAGTCTATCAGAGCTGTAACTGAAATGCAGGAGGTCTGAGATTGTGAGTCATCTGATTAGGCGACTCTACTGTGCATCACTCTAGTAATAATGCCAATATCTATCGAACCCTTCACATCTACTTCACAAAACATCACAGCCTGCTGTGAGGTAGGTAAGTAGATATCACCCCCATTTTGCAGGGGGTACAAGCTAGGCTACATCTTATCCTGGAAGCTCCATCAGTGTGTTCTGAAGAGAGGAATTAAAATATTACTAAGTACTACCAGGGAGAGCAAACCAAACCAAAATAAAAACAAACTTTCACACATTCAACATTCACTATTATTTTCATCTTTGTACGGCAGCAGAGCCTAGAGGGCCACACCAAGATCAGAGGCCCATTGTGCCAGGCAATGTATACACACATAGTAAGGAACAATCCCTCCCCCGGAAAGTTAAATAGACAAGACAGACAACGGGTAGGAGAAAGGGAGTTCTATTATACATGGTTCAGGTAGCAATGCCTATCGGTGAGGTCACTTAACACTTTCTACTGTAAGATCCTGTTTTCAGTTCAGCTGTTTGGGCTGAAATTTTCTGTCAGGTGTCTCCTTCAGATGTTCTTATTTGTTTTTTTAACATTTTGGCAAAAATGGCCACCTATTTCTCAGAACACCAGATGTGAATAGAGATGTCTATCGATTGATGCTGACTTATTTCTTGAGAGCTTTGTGATAGAAGAGGATATTCAGCAGGGGTTGAATGAGGAGAGAGTAGTGGTTGGGGCAGCCGGTTCGGAAAGGTTGTTTTCATGAGTACAACCAACACATAAGTCCTAGGAAATCCCTTTTGTTTGCATTTGGAAGATCAGTCACTCACTAAGAGTATTTAAACGCCATAGTGACCTTAGTCTGTAGTCTAGTGCAATTGCATGTTACATACACATTGAGCGAAATGCCCCTCTGTGCAGAGCCAGCACAAAGCTAGAGTGGTTCACAAGCTATCTTAAGACACTTTTTGTTCTGCTGTGTAAAAACCCAAAGACATACAATAGACAATAAAAGAGAATCTCATTTAAAATTGAGATAAATGCCAATTTCTCTACAAAACTATTTATGAAGGGGTGGGGGAGAAAGAAAGGAGGAGGATTAGCTGGAAAGGAAAATGGAAACATGCTCTATGACTGAGGGTTTTTTTCTCTTTGCAGTCCTTTGCATGGTCATGGCTTGGCACGCTTTCAGACCATAGGAAGCATTGTGAAATTCCATGATAAGAGGGTTTCCTTTGTGCTGGCCAGCGTGGCTTTAAGAGAAATTGTTCAGTACTTCCTCTCATCCATTATGTCAACCGCACTTCTCTGAATGAATTTGCTCCTATTTTTTTTAAAGTAACCTTTAACTTTTCGCTGTCATTCATTCTCTGTCCCGATGCAGCTGTTGGAACAAGGTGAATTTGGGAGCAAGCTACACACAGGTCTGTGTGCAGCGATGTGAAAGAAAAACCAAAACCTGCAGCTAGCTGTGCACATGCTGGATAACACGATGCAGACTAGACAGTGTAAGGTGAGCTCATATTCTGTAGGTTGCACGGCCAGTTAAATGGGGAAAGTCACATAGCTAATAATCCGTTATAGTGACTTATAACTATTCTCCAGATCTATAGCTACTATTAATTGTTTGACTAAGTAGGTTTGTTGAGTACGTCCAGAGTGGCAGTCGACTGATGCAATTAGTAAAATGACCCTCTCACAGTTAGTGGAATAGATTGACCAGGGTGGAGGGCACAGCACAGCTAATAAAATACAGTCATGTACGTTGATCCAGATTCAGTGGTGTACTCCAGCTGCTTTGTGCAGGTCTGGTGATGCAAAGCAGCCATAAA